TACCATAGCTCACCTCTGTACTTTTTAACCCCATTTTGGGCTTACTCTGAATAAAGCTTTTTATATAAAACTTCAATTGAAGTAAGGCTCTTGCATTCTGGCTCCTCCCAAGCCCTCTGAAATCCACTTTAAATATCTTACAATACATACTTTTCTACTTCAACCTAAACAGCTCTACAGAGAAGGAACACTCTATGTACTAACATTCAGAAAGCCACAATTGAGAAGATTTTCAAAAATACCTACGTGATAGCAGCCATCAGGGACTTGGGCATTTTTTAAAAATGTTATCCTTTGTGTCCACGTGATGCTAAATTGCTCAAACTAACCTAAAATATGGATCCTTCTGCTTATCTCAAAACACCTGTTGTCTAAGCTGTATCTGAAGTTCATTGTTGCTGTTAACTATGTAACCAGGGCTGTTAGGCAACGCTTAACAAGCACTAACTAACAATATGAGGATATGGATATAAATTAGAAATGCACACCCTAAATGGCTTTGATAGTTTCACTAAATATACACAGCAACACAGAATGATATTCCTGCTGTCAAATGTCAATATCTAGCTAGAAGCTTGATGGCACCATGGAAACTCGGACACATGTAAGTGTGGTATTGAGTGGATCGAAAATGAGGCTGCAGTTTAAGTTTGAGGCTGCTCGGCATGCCAAGAATTGTGAATAATTTGCAACATAAACTCCCTGTGAACAAGGCTGTCCAAGGAAGATAAATCAGAGACAACCATACCAGGTATATGGATTGACCAAGTGCAGGTCACTCTAAGCATATGAAGAGCAGTGTGTATGTGTTACAGTGACCTGGTTTGATCCCAGGACAGCATTTTAAATGATTTATTATGAATAGGCTTGACACATATATAGATTTCCTCAGTTAAAGCCCTGAAATGAAACCTCTACGCGAAAAATGCTTTTGATGCACCAGTCAGCAAAAGGCCGCAAATATTGAAGTGGAGATTACACTGTTAGTCACAGACCTGCTCCCATAGAAAACACCACAAGCTTATGGAGAATATATGCAAGGTAGGTGGCCTGTGGAGGAAGACAAGGTTCATGAGCAAAGCAAGTTCCATCCACAGTAACTCAGTGTTGCATTGTAATTCTCTATATAAGTGATAACCCCACTAAGGCACTGCACAAGTGTTTTAAACTATAACAGAGTGTGTGTCAAATCAGTATGTTTTCAGAGCTCACGTAGAAAGGACAGTTCTTCTGTGAGAGTACTCCAATCTAACAGACTCCAGCAAGACCAAGAGAAGGGAGATCAGATCTAGTTGTGACATAATTTGGTGGAGGTGATGCTGCTGGAAGTCAGACAGCACCTCCCACAAGTCAACCAAGAAAGTGCCCACATTAGCGATGAAGGCCTCCCTTGTCTGCACCATTTACCAGAGAGGGAAGGAAGATGCTACTGACTAAAATAAAAAAAAGCAAAAAATGTATCCCTTTGGAAAAGACAAAACTGAAGCCAGTGACAAAATTCCCTCCCACCCTTCTGTCCAAGTGCCTGCTCCAAAGCCCACTAAAGACAAAGGGAGTCTTTCCTTTTTCTTCAGTGAGTGCTGGATAAGGTTCCAATTGCTAAGGAACTTAGTCCAGAGAGACACCAACTTTCTACTTGTCCCTCCACACATACTTGCCCATATAGATGGTCATTAAGTTATGCACAGCTTTTTCCTTCTAGCTGGATAACTTTTCCTTTCCCCTCCATCAAACTTACAACAACAAATAAACAGCTTTACCATGTCACAAATTACATATTACCTTTTCTGGGGGAAGTTTCCCTTTGGATCATTTCTGTTGATTGATATTTCAGTGTTGTTGTTTTTTTTGTGGGGGGGAGGTGTTTATAATAGACAATAAAAAGTAAAATTCCCATTGTACAGCAGCTATCATGCAACATTCAAAAGGTACATAAAAACAACTATCCCCTTAGAACAGCCTGCACCTACAAGCATACCTGTTCCCTCAATCCATTAGCTACCCCAAAAGCTATATTTTGCAACAGGCTCAGAACAATACCAAACTGAAGCTGTGATGGAACAATGGAAAGGTAGCAAGTTTCAGAGCTGAAGAACCTTTGGCTAAAATGCCCTTCCACCTGCTCCTCTGACTTAAAGTAAGCTGGATCTAGTTAGAACCCACTCCTCTGGCCACAGTTGTAAGGATATCGAACAGGGAAAAAGCATAATATATACAATTCCACACTGCTTATAAACAAGCCCAAGTGGATGTGGTCACAGCAGGCTTAATTCCTGGTGGAATTTAAGCTTCAGAACTTTCCTCAAATGTATTATTCATTCATCTCCTTGTGATATCAAAAACTGAGAAGTCTGACCTCAGGTAGAGAGCAAGTAACAGGAGCAGATAAACTTTTAATGAAATGAAAAGATTCCCTTTGCATGTAAATAGCCCTAATATATATAAGGAAGACAAATAAATGACAGAAACCAATACGATATATCAGCAGAATTATCTCTATACTCAATGGGAGAAGTTATTCTCTCACTTAGAAGTCAATGGTGTTACTTTGTATTTACACCAGTCTCACCGACAGCAGAGTTTGGCCTAGTTTTCCCAACCCCGCCCCCCCAGGCCTTTAAGTTTTAAAACAAACTAGCAATAACAACTCTACAACTGATCCATCAGCACCTGTTGGAGTTACTTATTTTAGCAGCAGTAAAGGGTCAACTATTACTCTAGGGCTAGGTCTACACTACCCGCCTGAATCGGCGGGTAGAAATCGAACTCTCGGGGGATGGTTTATTACGTCCCATC